AGAGAAAAAAAGTGTCACTTCTCTACACTGGAAACTAGTTTGTGGATGGAGAACTCCGGGCTGTCAATGACATCACACAAAATTCATTAAAATCCCAGCACTCAGGAGGCAAACAGAGCTCTGTGAGTTCTAGGCCATCTATGGGGTTGCTTAGCAAGAAGACCCTGTCTCAAGCAAAATAACAACATCCCCCAAAACCCAGTAGGGAGAGGGCTGTAGGTTAGAGGTAGGACATTTAGCTGGCATAAGAGAGAACGTGGGGCTGGCTGGTGGTGGTAGAGGCAAATCTCTGAGTTAGAGGCCAGCCTGGTCTACAGAGTGAGAGAAACCATGTCTCAAAAAACAAACAACAAACAAAACAGAGAGTGGACGAGAGAGCAAGGGAGAACATGGGTTCCACTCCTAGCATCAACACTCCATTATAATGTATCAAATTATTTATATATGCATATTTTATATATTTTTATTTTTATATATACATATATATTTATATATATACACATATATTTTTTCTACTTGCATGCCTTCTTTTTTTTAAAAAATATTTATTTATTTAATTATGTGTACAGCATTCCTTCCATGTGTGCCCGCAAGCCAGAAGGGGGCGCCAGGTCTCATTATAGATGGCTGTGAGCCACTATGTGGTTGCTGGGAATTGAACTCAGGACCTCTGGAAGAGCAGTCAGTGCTCTTAACCACTGACCCATCTCTCCAGCCCTTGTATGACTTCTTAAGTTTTGTCTCAGGATTGAAAAATAGACCAGAGCCAACTGTAGTAGTATGCATCCTTAGTCCCAAGCAGTCAGGAGCCTGAGTCAGGTGGATCTCTCTGAGTGGAGCAAGAGCAGGAATCACCTGTAGAAGGCAATGTGTGTCCTAGAAGGGACGTAAGGGTAGCAGCAGGTGAATCCCTGAAGTTCCTTAGCCATCCAGCCACTGAATCAGATGAACTTCAAACTTAATGAGAAACGCTGTCTCAAAAAATAAAGGTGGAGGGGCTGGAGAGATGGCTCAGAACACTGGCTGTGCTTCCAAAGACCAGGTTCTATTCTACATGAGAGCTCATAGCCATCTGTAACTCCAGTTCCAGAGAACCCAATGCCTCTTTGTCCTCCAGGCACCAGGCACCAGGCATGCAGGCAAACCACCCACACATATAAAATCAAAAATTTAAATTAATATATAAAAAGATGGAGATTTATTGGGGAAAGACACCTGTCAACCTTTGGCTACCACACACATGGGCATAACTGTATATGACCTTATGTGTATACACACAACACACACAGAGGCACACACATACACTCACTCAAGCACAGACATGCACAAGACATGAGTCACTTTCACTAATTTTCATAATTTGATTGCCTGTGTTATGGGTTCCTTAACCTTTGGATGTTTTCCCTCTTCCCTAGCCACTGACTTTGGATTAAAGGATTCACTGTTCGCATGATTGCATTTAAAAACAGAATGGGGGCTGAAGAGGTGGCCCAAGCCATTTTGTTACTGCTCTTGCAGAAGACCAGGACACATATGGTAGATTACTCCTGAAACTCAGGTTCCAGGGGATCTGAGGCCCTCTTCTGACCTTTGTGGGAAAATGGAGACCTAAGGGTAGACTAGGACTTCCTCCCCACACAGGGGCTTGAATAAAAAAAAGGCCCAGAGGAAAGCACTGTGTTCGAATTGGTAGTTAGTTCTCTTCTCAAACTGGACAATCTTCGAGAATGTTCTTCCTAGCCCCAACAGGAGATTGCTTTTACATTGCGACAGACTTGGTAAAGACTTGAAATTGATGCTTTCCAATGACTTCCATGTCCTTAAGGGGAGAGTTAGACAAGAATGTCTGTCTTGTTTTGTAATAGTTGGCAAGAAAAATGGTGTAGCGTGGGTAAAGGAGAAGGTTGGCTATCTCCAGTTACCTGATTATCTTTGCCGATTTTCACCGTGAAGCCTACTGTCTCCTGCCCTGGGAGGAGGCCGCCTAGTCTGGCAGCTGGGCCCCTAGGCAGAGTCTACTTGGATCTGCAGCCACTTCCGAAGAGTCCGGGAGAAACTGTCCAAGCCCTGTGTGTCTAAGAGTACCTGGATTCAGCCAGAAGAGCTGATCCAACTCGGTCAGGATGAGAGCGCCAGAAATAAAATTCAGAAGCCAAAGTATTGTGCCAGAAGCTATATCTGACCTGGAGAGTAGGAAGTGAAGCAAAAAGAGGGAGTTGGAGGCAGGGGAATGGCTACAGGACATGGTTTGGGTAGAGGTCTGACCTACAGAATCATGCTCATGTCTGTATGTAGGGTTAGTTCATGGTTATTGCTGTAACAGAATACCAGAGGTTAGGTACTTCAAAAAAAGAGGTTTGTTTAGCTCACAGTGTTGGAAGTTCACTAGTGTGGTGGCACACACCTTTGACCCCAGCACGTGGTGAGAACGGCAGCAGTTTGAGAGTTGCAAGTGACACACATAGAAGAGAGATTCAGTGAAGTGCTAGCCTCTCCTCTATTAGCCCGTCCTCTTAGGGGCTAACCTTGGTCTAGGACACCTGTATTAATCCCTTCTAAAGGTGGTACCCCCAAGACCTACTGACTTTCTATTAATCCCTTCTCTTAAAGGTTCCATCATATCAATACCCCCATGTTGAACACCAAGCCCCCAGCATAAATGAATCTTTGGGAGGTATGGGGCATGGGTATGCATGGGTAGCCCGTACATGGTGGTTCTGTTGAACTTGTCCGTATGAATTTTCATGGTTTAAGTTGATGAGGACAACTGATCAGGTCTCTTCCTCAGGAGGGCACCAGATCTCATTACAGATGGTTGTGAGCTACCATGTGGTTGCTGGGAATTGAACTCAGGATCTTTGGAAGAACAGGCAGTAAGTACTCTTAACTGCTGAGCCATCTCTCCAGCCCTTTGGGAGGTATCCTCAAATCAAGTTTTTAATTTACATGGGTGCTAGGGATCCAAACTCAGGTCCTCATTGTTACATCGAAATTACTTTACCCGCTGAGCCATCTCCAAGTCTGGAACTTTTCTGGAATTATTCATGTGCCACAGTACATATGCGTTCAGGTGCTTAGGTTGCCAGATTCTCTGGAGCTGGAGTTTCAGGCAATAGTAAGCAGCTTGACCTGGGTGCTAGAAACCAAACTGCAAAAGCAGTGTTCACTCTTAACTTCTCAACCATCTCTCTGGCCCTAGTCTGAAATTCTTGGTTCTTAGCTGCCAAGATCCTTCAGTGAGAATCCTGAGTAAGGGGCTTCTCCTTCTTCCCAGGTCCCCATAATGTTCCCTGTCTTTCTGTCTTGACTGACCACTCCTCTGTGTCCCCTGTCCTCACTGTCAAAGGAGAGCCTCAGACCAAATATTGTCTAAGGTGCTTTTAAACTCTACAATTCTGTGGCCAGTGAGCAAACAATGAACAATAATATACTCATACAAGCAAACTCAGGCACTTTCCTGCAGCCAAAGTTTCAGAACCTAGAAACCAGACAATTCAAAGGCAATGTCACACACACAACAAAGATCAGCTGAGATAGTCCCTGCCACTATATAACCAAGACAGGAAAACAAAATATAAGGAGAGCTTGAGGTTACATTTACTTATTTCTTTATGTGTGGAGGGGTATACGTCAGAAGACAGTTTGCGGGAGCTGGTTCTCTTCTAACAAATGGGTGCCCAGGGATTGAACTCAGGTTGTGACATTTGCTGGCATGTGCCTTTTCCCATGTGCCATCTGACTGGTCTTAAATATTTTTATTTGGATCTGGTTGTAGCCTAATTTAACAGAGGATGATCTTAAACTCCGTATCCTCCAGCCTCCACCTTCCAAATGCTTATATAATATTATAGGCCTGTGTGGCCATACCCAAATGATAAACATGTTTAACACGTGGCTTCTAGTTCCCCAAAATGAAAGACATGTCTGAATAATTAGAAGGTTTAATCAAAAGCCTTGTTTTAAAAATATTATTTCAGCAAGATCACAAAATTATGAATTTGCAAAATATAAAAATGCTTACATGGTATAATTGTGTATACATAAGCTCTCCCCCTTTACTCAAGCCATATATGCATTCTGTTAGAATTTCCAGCAACTAGAATCTAGCCCAAACACTATCTGAAGGTGAGAGGAAATCAGCTACTATGGAAACCACTTGGCTCTTAGACATTTGACGAAGCCAATCTCAAAAAATAACGTGGGCCAGGAATTTGACTTACTAATAGAGCACGTGCAAGGCCCTGGGTGTAAATCCCAGAACCGCGAAAAGTATAACACACTGGACACACGCACAGAAAAAGCCCTGTAAGGTGCCTGCGGTGGCCCACACCTGTAATCCCAGCACTGGAGAGGCAGATGTCATTGTGAGGCTAGTGTGCTTAGTAAAACACAACACATAATCTTTTAGAATACTTTCTTCTCTGTAATCCTAGGGACCCACTGGAGTAACCCTGATGTAATTATTAAAAAAAAAAATCTACTCTTAAAATTTCTGATTGTGACACGTGGTGGCCTTTCTACAATGAGCCCTGCAACAGTGTGAAAAGACTCCCTCTTACAGGTCAAATGTTTTTGCTACCACGACAAACATGTAGAACATTTTAAATCTAAGGCCTACGTTGGCATCCTCATGGAAAACCGAAAGATGAACACGCAACCGAACTAGTTCTTAAGCGGTTCCTGGCTAAGGCGCTGTCCCACTCGCTTTATTTCCCAACTTAGCTGGTTTAATGGATCGCTTTAAAACAAAAGCCAAAACTACCCTAGAGCGAGGAACTCCGTGAAATCTGCATTTCTGAGAGGTTCCTTGGGGGAAGGGAGGAGGGGCTGAAATTTATTCCTCTCTGACTCTGGCTTCCCTTACAGACTGGGAGTTAAATCGCTGTGAACAACAGGAATTGGCCTGCAGATGGAGAATTTGGGACCATCGACTCCAAAGGCAGTTTCCAGACTTCTCGCCTATTTAGACGCGACGGTGGAGCTAGGCCCTTCAAAATGGCAGCTGTGGTCAAGTTCCGAAAAGGTCTGACAAATTTTTAACACAGTAGCAAAATATGGGGCTGCATTCCTGCAGAACTGAAAGAGCAAAGTCCGAGGGCCCCGCTGGCCACGTGCTCCTACACTTCTTGTTAAATCAGACCGTGGGCACCCGGGCTACGCACGGCAGGAGTGAGCGCAGCTCCAGGGTCCCGGGACGAGGCGTGGAAGGGGCAAACGTCTCCAGGTGGCTTGTCTTTTTTTTTTATTTATTATTTTTTTTAACCGACTCCGAGAAGCCCTCATTGCTCTGTCCCGATAGGTGGAGAAAAGCAGCGCGGGGCTGAACTTCCAAGTTCCGAGGTCCGCTCTGCCTTGTGACCACTGGGCTGCTGACCTCGTCAGCAGGCTACACTCTCCTAGCAGGCGGCCATGACAAGGTTCCCTTGGCGCGAATTACAAGGAAACCCAAGAAATACTTTTAAAAAAGAAAGAAAAGAAAATTCCATCCCAAAGCCCCGAAGTGGAGTCACTCGGGCAGGGCTGTGCAGGAACTTGGGGACTCACTCGAAGAACTGGGGGCTGGGGCGTCGCACCTGGACACGGGAGACAAAAGTTGCGGGCATCCCACCCAGGGGTCGCCAGCATGCTTTCTGCCCGATTGGCGGAAGCGCTCAGACTTTTCTTTATGGCGTCACCGGGTACCTGCCTGTAGGAAGGCCCCGGCTGCGTGACGTCACGCCGCGCTGACCAATGAACGGCCCGAGCCGGCGGGCCCCGAGGAGGGTTGTGGGCCCTTCTTTTTTTGTGAATGAAGCTCCACGGACCATCCCTCCTGGGGGTCCCCGGGAGCCGCGGCCCGCAGAGCTCGGACACCCAGGCAGCAGCGTCCCAGGGCGCGCGCGCTTTGCCCCAGCCGCAGGCCAGCGCTGTGTGGCCCCCGGGGCGCGGGCGGCGGGAGACGCAGCTCGAGGACTCGGGGCCGGGCTGCCGGGCCATGGTCGCGGTCCCCTGACGGGCCGCGGCCGCCTCCATGAAGCGCAAGAGCGAGCGGCGCTCGGCTTGGGCTACCGCGCCCCCCTGCTCTCGCCGCAGCTCGTCCTCCTCTCCCGGCGTGAAGAAGAGCCGCAGCTCCACGCCGCAGGAGCTGCACCGCCTGGAGCAGCAGGACGACCTGTACCTGGACATCACGGGTGAGCCCCCCGCCACACCCCCCACGAGACTCGCGGCTTCCTCGCGCCTCTCGCCGCCCGCCCGCGCGCCGGCGGCTGCAACTTTTACACCGAGAGGGGCCGAGGGTCACCTCTGTAAAATGCACCCGGTCTCCGGAGGCGGGGGAGGGCTCTGCCCTCGAACCCACCTCACTTCGGGAAAGCTGGCGCGGTTGTTCTCACGCCTGTCCGAGTTTCTGCTGAGCTCCGAGGGCGCTGATCTTTCCTAGCCCGAGGGCCCAAGCCCCCGCTGCGCCTTAGCAAAGCGTGGGATCTCCCCCCCTCCCCGAGCCCCTGGTCCTTTCCCCCCTCTTCCCCACGCCGTCGCGCCCTCCTCAGGCCTCCTCGGAGATCCTTGCCCTCCCTCCCGCGCCTCCAGAGAGGTGTCACGGTGATGGCGTTGGAAACATCCAGCGTTCTAAGAGCCCAGAGGTGTCCCTTTTGAGAAATCTCCGCCAGTCCGAGCACGTAGAAAAGCCGCTTTCGAGGGGTGATTTTTCTTAGTGTCTCAGTTCTTGAAATTAATTTGGCAACTGCTGGGATTGCCGGGGTTTGGTGTCGAAGCCAGAGCTTGCCTTCGGTGTGCTGCTGTACTACGTGGAATCGCTTTATCAACTGCATAGCTGTCTGCGTGGTTGAGGGAATGTGCCGCGTTTTCTGGGGCGGATGGTGTCCACCTCTGCGTGGGGTTTTAAGAAACGGTTTTCAGGCCTTGGACTTGGACTTTCTTAGGTGGGCTCGGTTGGCGACAACGTTATTGATTTAGGAAGTGTTTACACAGACACAGAAATTTAGTAGAAACTATATTCTAGATTGATGGGCAGCTAGAAAATAAGACCGATTTTAAAGGAAGCCGAGAGGAGAGGGGGAAGGTTTCTTAGCGTTTGAAGGAGGAAGAGGAAGGAGTTGCTTTAAGTACAGCCCCTGACTGGCTTCTTCCCAGGCCTAGGGGTGGCCCTGCAGGAGGAGATGCCAGCTTGCCCAGGTTCCTTCGTGCTGGTGGGATCTGCGCATTCTTTCCGCTCTTTCTTACACTTCTTAAAATCATCTTTGGTTAGGGCTATTTATTATGGGAACAAGTTAAGCCCTGTATAGCTCTGAATTGTAGAGGTACACAAGAGTATACTGAGAAAAGTTGGTGGCAAAGAACAGGAATGTCTAAATGTAACCGATGTTGCCAGTTTCTCGTGAATCTTTCCAGAAACACTCTGGACCCGTGCACATATGTATCTATTCTTTGCAAACCCGTGCGGGATGGCATACAATTGACTTTGCATTGCTCTGCAGAGTACTTCAGGGCAGAATGTCAGCCTCCAGTTGCTGTGTTCAAAACCTCATTTGATTAATTACTACCTAAACCAAAGGATGTGTGGCTTTAAAGGATAAAACTTAAAAAAAAAAGTTTATGGATTTAAACACAGTTATAGATTTAAATGTTTTATAAATTTAGACAGTTCTCTGTTGAACATTTAGTTTTCATTAAAAGTTGTAAGACTGGGCCTTTAATCCTAATAGCAGAGTCAGGTGGATCTTTGTGAGTTCAAGGTTAGCCTCATCTGTATAGTGAATTCCAGAACAGCCAGGTCTATGTAGAGAGATCCTGTCTCAAAACAAAAACAAAAAGAAAAGAAAAGAAAAAAAGCTGTAATAAGATTAGGTGGTTGCTTTCATAATAGAAATTGTTAGTGGCCCCAAAGCTGGCATCAGGGCCTTGTGCGTGCTAGGCTAGTTCTCCCAACATTGAGCTACAACCCACCAGAAGAATTTTGACAGCAGTCGGAGGAAATCTTTCTATTTCATGGGGATAGAGTGTAACTTGGCAAGCCTTCCTGAGGAAGCCATCAAAGAATTAACTTTAGAAAATATCAGCAGTTGGACAGTGGTGGCCCGCGCCTTCAATCCCAGCACTTGGGAGGCAGAGACAGGCGGATCTCTGTGAGTTTGAGGTCAGCTTGGTTTACATAGTGAGTTCAGAACAGCCAAAGCTACACAGAGAAGCCCAGTCTCGAAAAACAATACAAAACAAAAAGTTGGAAAGATCAGATTACTTTTAATTTTATTTATTTTGTGTGAGGTGCTGATGGAGGAAGGCTTTGTGCTTAGCGAATGGCACCTGGTCCTTTAATTTCCCAAATTGTTTTTGCCCCAGTCATTGTCTTACTGTAATTTGCTTTTTGATACAGGGTCTCACTCTGTAGCAAGCTGGTTTGGGTTTTCCTGCCTCTACTTCCCCAAGTGCTGGGATTAAAGTGCCACCATACTTGATACCCGACAGTTTTCTTTCTTGCTTGCTTGCTTTTTTTTTTTTTTTTTTTTCCTTTTGAGACAGGGCTTCTCTGTGTAGCTTTGGAGCCTGCCCTGGAACTCACTCTGTAGACCAGGCTGGCCTCAAACCCACAGAGATCTGCCTGCCTCTCCCTGCCTAGTCCTGGAATTAAAGGTGTGTGCCACCACCGTCCAGGCCTGACAGTTTTTTTTAAATCCTTCACTTTTTTTTTTTAATTTTAATTTTTACTTTATTTGTGTTGGGGGACAGAGGGGGGTTATTGATTTCACCTTAACGGGGCCCAGCGCACAAGTCAGGATAGCTTGTGGGAGCTGGTTCACTTCTACCACACTGGTTTCCAGAATTGAACTAAGGTCATCAGTCTTGGCTGGAGACTCTCTTTCCAGCTGAGCCATCAGGATGGTTTCTTTTTAGCTGCTGAGTGCTATCATATTGTATGGCTGAATCACGATTTCTTTAGCAGTAGTGAGCGGGAACACTTGGGAATGTGTTCGGTTCTATTGCAAATGGCTGCTGAAGCATCCCTGTGGAAGGAGTCTGTGTATTTGTGACTGCATTTTTGAGCGGATTCTAGAAATAAAAATGTCGGGCCAACTTATACAGCTTCAGTGGACTTTTGGACCTGTATGTATGTTGCCACCATCCACCTTTGTGTTCAGGACATGCTCAGCTCCTTTAATACGTAGCTGGGAGTATACTTCTTGAGTTGTGTGCTAACTTTGTGTTTTCATCTTTGGCAGCTGCCAGACTGTAAGAGCTTTCGCCATCAGCTTTCTACCCTTGAGGTGCCAATCATTTCTGCGTCTTTGCCAATACTTGTTAGTGAACAGGAAGACTCTTGTAGCAGGCATGGTTTGGAAAAATTAAACCATGTTGTCTGTTTCGCCTGTTCTGCTCCTAAAGCTTTTTTTTCTCACACAGTTTAGGTTTGCCTCAAGTGCGCTGTGTAGCTGAGGAGGACCTTGAACACGTGAGCCTTCCATCTGGGTGCTGGGATTATAAACACAAATGACTTTGCCTGGTCTTACGTGGTACTGGGATAAATCCAGGGCTTCAACATCCTAGGCAAGCACTGAGCTACATCTCTAGACCCCAGACAAGACCCTTGATATAATTAATTAATTAAATTATTTTTGAGACAGGATTTCTCTGTGTAGCCCTGGCTAGCTTTGTAGACAAGACGGGGGCCTTGAATTTACAGAGGTATTGTAATAGGAGCGGCGGGGCTGCGTCCCCAGCACCCCGGCAGCCTGGCTAGCTTATGCCCCGAAATAATTATACACAAACTGTATTCATTTAAACACTGCTCTAGCCCTTACTGGCTAATTCTGATATCCCGATCAACCCATCTCTAATAAACTGTGTAGCACTGGTCTTACCGGGAAAGTTTAAGCATGTCTGACCTGGCGGCGGCTTGCTTCATCGTGTGTGTCTGCCCAGGAGAGGGGAGCATGGCCTCTGCTCCAGAGAGCAGAGCTCACTTCTTCTTCCTCCCAGCATTCTGTTTTGCCTACTCCAACCACTTAAGGGATGGCCTATCAAAATGGGCCAAGGCAGTTTGTTTATTACCAATGACCTTCCTCTATCACTTAGGTTTGCCTGCCTCTGTTTCCCAAGTACTGGGATTAAAGGATTTGCCACCATCGCAGGTGGATCCTTGATATTTTTATGATGGCCTATTCAATCTGTAAATTGAATTCCTGCTGACACCAGGGTGCAGCATTGTGTGCTGTTCATACTGGATGCTTGTGTGGTCATCATTCTTGTTTGGTCCAGAGACTGGCCAGCCTCACTGCTATGCTCTGGGTGGGGGCTTTTACTCTTTCCAGCCAACCTACTCAATAGTGGTTTAATTCTTACCCTGACACAAGCAGTATGCTTTGTTATTGATTTTTTTTTTTTAAACTTGAACTGTATTTCTGGTGTACCGTGAAAACCAAATCTCCTAAAGACAGGTGAACTGTGTAGCTAATACCCCGAGATACTAAAGATACACGCGAAGGAAGCAGAGAAAAAAAAGAGGACTTGAGTTTTCAGTGGGTTGAAAACTGTAAGATCCAAAATTGGGACAATAGATGAGAAAAAATGGTTGGATGCAGGCAGGGATTTAATTTTTTTATGAACCTCCTTGGTGCCAGAGTTCCAAAGCTTTTTTTTTTTTCAACTGTCAAATCATTAAATAGGGCCTTCCATTAAGTGGCCATGCAAAACTTCCTTTTTTGTTAATAACAAGGACAGTCTCCCTTGTCCAAATATTTGTTTTGTGAGGGGCCGGAGGTGATGGCAGAGTCTCTGTATATTGAACTTGAACTCCATATGTAGACCAGCCTTGAACTCCAGGAGATCGGCCTGCCTCTGTCTCCAGAGTGCTGGCATTAAAGGCCAGCACCGCCACCGCCACCCGGTCGGAAGATATTTTTTAAGCATTCCATCACAGCTGCAAAGTCTGATCATTTTCAGGATCTAATAGTCGATGCAGACCTTTGATTTATTTCAGTATCTTAATCTTTTAAGTTTCTAATTATTGAAGAAAATTAGTAATAGTTGCTATTGCCCGAAAGACAATTTAATTTTATTTGCTTGTTTTTAGAGACAGAGTCTCATTTGTGTAGCTCAGTATAGCCTAGAAGTTGGTATGTAGCCAGGGTTGTCTTGGAACTTCTGATCCTCTGCCTTCACCTCCCTAGTGCTGTGA